CCTAGAGGACGCAGTTCGAAGTTCCCATGAAAGGGAACTATCTTTTAAAACTGTTGCATTTGCTTGCAAAACGTTTGTTCCCCTAAGAAACTTTTGCATTCTAGAGTTATTATACATTTATTATTGACATTAACTGAATTAAAATTAATTATAAAAATAAATTTTTCATTTCAGCTAGTTTCTATTGCTACATCTCTTTTTTTTTTAGTTTAGTTTGATGTACTAAAGTAACTAAACCTAAAAAAAAAATGAAGTAAAAAAAAGAATCCAAATTATATAGACATTTAAACTAAACTCAAAAATAAAACTGTTCTTTTAGTATTATTGAGATAAACATTTAATTTTTAAAAAATCAATCATTCTTAAAAAGAAAAAAAAGTATTTAAACACTAAAATAACTCTTTTTTTTGCATTCCCCAGAGAAAGCAATGAAATGTAATTTTTCATAATTTTCACATTTTTTCAATCTCCATGTCCCTTGCTTTATTTCTGGAGTTTGACCGTCTGTGAACTGCTGTGAGCTGAAAAATGTGCAGAATTTCTCCGTTTGTGTTCCACAGAAAAAACAACCGTATCCGTGTTTTGAACGTGATTGTGAGTAAGTGATGACAGAATGATGATCTTCACGCTCTTGAAGTGAGGTCAGTCTGCTGTATTTCCACTGCGCTGCACGTGAACCGCTACGACGTCTTTCTCTCGATCTGCGTCTCCCATCACGGACTCGATATCCTGAACTCCTCGACAGCAGTGTTGATGATCTTCAGGCTGCGTTTGTTGCCAACCGATCGCAGTAAAGTTCTCATCTGCCTGCACTGAGTTTATTTCACACAGGAGCTGCTCGACGGAAGCTGAGAGTTTGCGGTTTTGACTTTCTGCTCGCTGAACGCCGTCGATATCTCCAGATCTCCGTGAGACGAGGACAGCACTCGGTTCTGATGCGTGTGCAGGTTGGCGTTGTTCCCGCTGGTTTTGAGGTGTTTGGAGAAGTGCACGCTGAGGTTGGGCCGCTGACCGGCGCCGCTCTGCTGGACGGGACGCCGCAGGTACGCAGAAAGAGTGGCCACGCAGTTCTTCTTGAAGTTCTCGTTCATGAAGGCGTAGACGATGGGGTTGTTGAAGGAGTTGGAGAAGCCGATGGCCTGCACCACAGCGATGATCATGTTCACCGTGACCTCGTCGTAGTTCTTCTCCAGCTCGTCTGAATGAAAAATAGACACATATTTTGATAAATTAGAACTGAAGGTTTATTCCTTATTCGTTTTAATGTCAGGTATATGGATGGCTCATATTTACAGTTAATTAACAAAAAAGGAGATCATCATATGAGTTGAAATCATTTGGGAAGGGAATGTGTTTACAGGATGGTTTAACGTTTGGAAATTAAATTAAGACAGCCATAAATATTAGAATTGTAATTTCACAATTATGTAAAATAAAATATTATAAATATTATTACATTTTATTACATTATTTTACAAATATTATAATAGTAATTTTTTCCGTTTTGATTTACATTTACATTTACATTTAGTCATTTAGCAGACGCTTTTATCCAAAGCGACTTACAATTGGGGGATACATAAAGCGATTCTTCTTAAAGAGGCAAACAGACACAAGAAGTGGTTGTAATACCAAGTTCTTAGACATTGTTCAAATAAGTACAAGCTAGAAAGAGAAGGAATAAATAAAGAGAGAGATACTTTTTTAAATTTTTTTTTATGATGAAGTCAAGTAGCTTCGAAAGAGATGAGTTTTCAGCTGTCGCTTGAAAATTGTCAGGGATTCAGCATTCCGGATAGGGGTGGGAAGATCGTTCCACCAGCCAGGAGTGGTGAACGAGAATGTTCTGGAAAGTGATTTTGAGCCTCTCTGTGATGGCACCACGAGGCGTCGCTCACTAGCGGATCTCAGACTTCTGAAGGGGATGTAAATTCGTAGTAGTGAGTGGAAGTAGGCGGGTGCTGAGCCTGTGGCTGTTCTATATGCAAGCATCAACGTCTTGAACTTGATTCGTGCCGCGACCGGTAGCCAGTGCAAGGAGATAAAGAGAGGTGTAACATGGGAATAAAAGCGAGGCTCCTATCTTCTTGAATGGGGGAAACCAAAATCTACCAAATCCTAGAGATGCTGGACAAGAAGTTGTGCAGCATGCTCTGTTAGAAAGGGCCTGATCTTTCTGATGTTGTGCAATGCAAACATGCAAACCCGAGCGGTCTTTGCAATGTGGTCTTTGAAGGTCAGCTGGTTATCAAAAGTTACACCAAGATTTCTGACCGAAGTTGATGGGGTAATTGTAGAAGAACCTAGCTGGATGGAAAAATCATACTGTAGAGTTGGAGTGGCAGGGAAGACAAGAAGCTCAGTCTTTGCTAGGTTGAGCTGTAGGTGATATTCTTTCATCCATGCCGAGATGTCTGCCAGGCAGCCTGAGATCCGTGCAGCTACCGTTGGATCATCTGGTTGAAATGAAAGATAGAGCTGTGTGTCATCAGCATAGCAATGGTAGGAGAAGCCAGGTGCCTGTATGATGGGACCCAGTGATGTTGTGTAAATGGAGAAGAGGAGGGGTCCAAGAACTGATCCCTGAGGAACCCCAGTGACAAGTTGATGTGCTTTGGATACCGCCCCTCCCCAAGCCACCCTGAAAGACCTACCAGTGAGATAGGATTCAAACCAGCGAAGTGGAATCCCTGTAATGCCCATTGAAGAGAGGGCAGACAGGAGGATCTGATGATTGACAGTGTCAAAAGCAGCAGAAAGATCCAGCAGAATAAGGACTGATGATTTGGAATCAGCTTTTGCAATCCGCAAGGCTTCTGTGACTGACAGTAGCGCAGTCTCAGTTGAATGGCCACTCCTGAAACCTGACTGGTTAGGATCCAGTTTGTTGTTCTGTGAAAGAAACAATGATATCTGGTTGAAAACAACTCTTTCGAGGGTTTTCGCTATGAATGGAAGGAGAGAGACAGGTCTGTAGCTATCTGTAAGTGAAGTGTTTAATGTAGGTTTTTTGAGCAGTGGGGTTATCCGAGCCTGCTTGAATGCAGTGGGGAAGGTGCCTGTGAGGAGAGATGTATTGATGATGTGTGTGAGTGCTGGTAAAAGTGTAGGAGAGATTGCTTGGAGGAGGTGTGAGGGGATTGGGTCTAGAGGGCATGTTGTAGGATGGCTGGAGAGCAGAAGTTTTGATACTTCTGTCTCAGTGAGGGGACAGAAGGAGAAGATGGGAGTTTTTGGAGTGGGTGGGGTTGGTTTGAAGTCCTGTGTGTGTGGGGCTGAGAATTGGCTACTAATTGTTCTGGTTTTGTCTGTGAAGAATGTGGCAAAATCATCAGCTGTTATAGAAGTGGTAGGAGGTGGTGGAGGGGGACAGAGGAGAGAATGGAAAGTTTTGAAGAGATTACGTGCGTCTGGAGCGCTTTTGATCTTGTTGTGTAAGTATGAAGATTTGGCAGTATGGACTTCAGCAGAGAAAGATGAAAGCAAAGACTGATACATACTTAGGTCTGACGGATCTTTTGATTTGCACCATTTTCTCTCAGCTGCCCTGAGTTTGGTCCGATGTTCACGAAGAACATCGGATAACCAGGAGTTCGAGGGGGCAGCCCGTGCTGGCCTGGAGGAGAGAGGACAAATATCATCTAGACAAGAGGTTAAAGTAGAGCATAAAGTGTCAGTTGCTGCATTCACATCCAGAGATGAGAAATGGGTAGGTGAGGGAAGAGAGGAGGATACAACGGAGGAAAGATGGGAGGGGGAAAGGGAGCGTAGGTTTCGTCTAAAAGTAACCGGTATGGGGGTTGGTGGCACACAGGTAGCAAAATGTAGTTGAAATGTAATGAAGAAATGATCAGAGATATGTAGGGGATTTACCAGAATGTTGTCTGCAATACAATTGCGTGTGTAAATTAAGTCAAGTTGGTTGCCAGATTTGTGCGTGCTTGTGGTGGTAAGTCGTTTGAGATCAAATGAAGCAAGGAGTGAATGGAAGTCTGTAGCATAAGGCTTGTCCAGATGAATGTTGAAGTCGCCAAAGACTAAAAGTGGACTGCCATCCTCCGGGAATGAGGACAGCAGCCCATCCAGCTCTTCTAGGAAGGCGGATAGAATTTGCCCAGGAGGGCGGTAAATTACCACAACCTGGAGTTTTACGGGAGCTGTTATAGTGATCACATGAGATTCAAATGAGTTGTAATCGCATAGGGGAGATTGGGTTGAGTATTTCCAATTGTTAGAAATGAGCAGACCAGTGCCCCCACCCCGGCCAACCTGACGGGGGGTATGAGAGAAAGAGAAATTGTTCGAAAGAGCAGCTGGGGTTGCTGAGTCTTCTGGACGAATCCAGGTCTCAGTCAAGCCCAAGATGCTAAGTGTGGAGTTTAAAGAAAAAGAAGAAATGAAGTCTGCTTTGTTGACAGCTGACTGACAATTCCAGAGACCCATAGAGAAAGAAAGAGGTGCAGTAGAGGATGTAGAGATAGGATGCAGGTTAGCAACATTGCGTTGCCGTCTGCGTGTGACCGTAGAGCGTCATCGAGAGACAACCGGAATGGTTTGGAAACACATGATAGAGGTGGGAAAGAGAGGACAGAAAAGGAGAGTGTGTACAGGGAAGAGCAAAAATATACTTA